ATGACCCACTCCCCTTCCAAGGTTTGGTCTTATGATTATTTTAGTTTTAATTATGGGAAGACGGGTAAAGGGTAATATACCCATGAGTGAAGATGCTCACAGAAGCCAAAAGAGGACCTTGGGTCCCACAGATCTAGAATTACAGGCAGTTGTGAGATGCTCAACATGAGTGCTGGAAATAAAACTTGGGTCCTCTGCAGGAGCAGTCTGCACTCTTTAACTACTGGGCCATCTCTCCGACTCCTTAAGTTTGGTCTTTTTAATCATGGTCCTGAATGCTTGAATAGTTTGTCAGTGAGAAAGAAAATCTTTGTATGTGTATATGGGTTTTTCGAGACAGGGTTTCTTTGTGTAACAGCCTTGTCTGTCCTGGAACTCACTCTGTAGACCAGACTGGTTTTGAACTCACACAGATCCACCTGCCTCTGCCTCCTGAGTGCTGGGACTAAAGGTGTGCATCACCATGCTCGACCTGAGAAAGAAGATCTTAGTGAGAAAACACTGTCTCCATTGTAGTGTTTGTGTAACAGTGGGTATTACTCAGGCCGGGCATGGTGACGCTCTTCATTTCTGTCAGAGTCTCCTTGTGCTGTATGCCCCTTGGAGAGAGCAACTGTCAGGAAGTGTGTTTGGGGATGAAAGCACATTCAAATGGTCTCAGTTTTCCTGCTTGCTGATAGAAGGCAGCATGGGATCAAAGTGCCCCCAACTGCAGTTCACTCCAACCAGATTAGCTCCCTGATGCCACAGTTTGTCTGACAGCCTTGCACACATCCAGATCTCAGGCATCACCACCCAAGCCCACGTTGTTCTAGTGCAGGTCCTTCCTGCACTTCCACCATGTGCCACTAGGGACTTCTACACCTGGGCAAGGATGCAGGATTGCACAAATTTATTCAATTTCCTGTTAGCAGGGCTAGTACTCAAGAGAGGTGAGCTCCATGTCTATGCTTCTTTTCCTTTCCTTTCCTTTCCTTTCCTTTCCTTTCCTTTCCTTTCCTTTCCTTTCCTTTCCTTTCCTTTCCCTTTCTTTCTTTCTTTCTTTCTTTCTTTCTTTCTTTCTTTCTTTCTTTCTTCTTTTTTAGTTTTGTTTTTTTTTGTTTTTTTGTTTTTTGTTTGTTTTTTAGAGACAGGGTTTCTCTGTAGCTTTGGAGCCTGTCCTGGAACTAGCTCTCGTAGACCAGGCTGGCCTCGAACTCACAAAGATCCGCTTGCCTCTGCCTCCTGAGTGCTGGAATTAAAGGCATGCACTACCACCTCCCAGCCTATGTCTGTGCTTCTGACCCAAATCCCACAATATATAATTTTCAGTGAACTTGCTTCAGTGAATACCTTTCGATTCATACGAACTTGAGCTGTAGCAATGTGCATTTGAGTACAGTCTGGCAAAGACTGCTGGGAGTCCCATGGACAAGAAAAATGCAAGGAATTCATGTTTCCCAAAGTAGAGTTTGAGTGGAAGCTTTTCAGAAAGACTCAGCTCATGGCATCACAGTTCTGCTCTGAGAAATTCCTAAACCCTTAGATTAGTTGGTTAGGTGTTCATTCCAAAGCCATGTATGAAGCCTATGTTAACAGAAAGGTTCTCTTGGGGATTGAGTCTTGATGGTGAGCCTCTTTCAAGCCACGGTTTGGACACAAGAATTAACTTTCTTGAGTCACAAGCAAGCTAGTCAAGATGTCCTGGCTCCCGTTCATAGCAGACAGTACACTGGTGCTGCAGAGACCCACATAAATTGCACAGTTCCACCCCCACCCCCATCCTACCCTCACCCTGCACAGAGTGCCTGTTTGTTGCTGGCTGACTTTCCTGGCCCCCCAGATCCGCTTTCAGTTCCACTTGTCATTCTGGCCGCCTGCTGTTTCTGTCTTTTTCACTTTGGAGAGCAGCTAGTGTTCCTAAGTGATGCTGTGCACTCTTGCCATGTGTGAGTAGAGAGGGTGGAGGATGGAACGAGCTCCACTTGTCTACCGCACACATTCAAGCTGACAGCCTGGCCCGAAATCATTTCCCATTAATCAATGATGGAAAAGAACACCCCATTTCCTCTTTTAAGAAAAGCACTGCTTCTGTTTGAAAAGACAAATACAAGTATCCAATAGACATATGACCACATACTGTCCTAATGTGTATTGAAAGAAATCTAAAATGGATTCTTATAATAAGCCTTTTTAATGTATCAAACTGAAATAGTTATAAGCCTAATGGATGTCTGACAGACAATGGGTCAAGTTCTCTGTCCACAGAGACTAGGAGACAAGATTTAATTTTGGCCATGAATGGTGAGGAAGAGAAAAGTTTTAGGAAAGTAATGGGTCCAACTGAATATATTGGTCTTGGAGAGAGAGAGAGAACTGTACCCAGCTTGAGGCAATGGAAGACTGTAGCTTTTTTTTTTTTTTTTTTTTTGTTTTTGAGACATGGTTTCTCTGTAGCTTTGGAGCCTGTCCTGGAACTCACTCTGTAGACCAGACTGGCCTTGAACTCACAGAGATCTGCCTGCCTCTGCCTCCCAAGTGCTGGAATAAAGGTGTGCACCTCTACCGCCTGGCAAACTTTATCATTCTTAAATGCTGTTGTGACCCAGAACGCGACCCTTTCCTCAAAAAAGCTTCTTACCCCTGGCTGAGCTGAGGAAAGTAACTTGTACCATAATGCTGGAGCTAAACAAAAGCCCCCAAACCATGCCTACGTTTTCATCTACATCTAAAAGCATGTATTTAGAAACTGATCACGAATATGCCCGTATTTATCATCCATGACAGCTGTCATTTCATCGCCTATAAAATTGTATAACAACAAGCAAAAATGATTACCCCCCCCAAAAAAAACTTCTAGAAAACAGAAAAACCGTGAACAGAAACAAAGGGCATGAGAAAACACGGAGAAATGCAAAATACCTTCCTACAAGGGGCTAAGGCAGCTTTGAATACAGAAAAAAAAATCAACTACATGGAATGATAAGCAAGAAGTGGGAGGAACGAAGAACAGGATTTGCCACAGCTCAGTTTCACATTCTCCTCCCCCGCGCCCCCACATTCACCCAAGACTCCGCAGCCTTTGTGGGAGGTGCAGCAGGGGATCAGTGACAGGAGCGTTTGTTTGCTCTTCGCTCTTCTCACTTTCTTCATACATTTTGCTCTGTTTATCCTAGAACTGCCTGATTACTGCCAACTTGCTCTCTCCTGACTCAGTCACTAAGATTAGAACTTCCCGGAGGTGGTAAGGAGAGAAAGTGGCCCATCTCTGCATGGCCCTAGCTGCTCCCCGTAGGGAGCTCCATTTGGAGCAGGCCAGCTTCCCAAAGCCCAGGCTTTCTTATCCGAGTCCTGGACTCCACGCAGAATGGACCTTTTTGCCTTTGCTCTTCCACCATTTTCCAGACCACCTTTCTCTTCCTACACAGGGACAGGGATCCCCAAAATGGGCTTCTCCTTCCTGGTCTATTTTAGACCCCGCCTCTTTTTTGGACACAGGATAAGGGTGTGGGACAATGCTGAGATTCAGAATGCAAAGCACAGTGCAATCACCCGGCAAGTTCTCATCACTTGGTTCCTTTTCCTGCTAGTAACTAGGCCGCTGCATGACCTGTTGACAAATGTCACACAGCTTTTCCACCACTGAATGCCCACAAGCACGAGGTCACTAAACAAACCAATACACGCTGTGTGCTGCGCAGTGCTGTACCTCTGTACCAGGGATCAGGCAGAACTAAGGCGGAGAGCCTGGCTCGGGGTTTGCTGGGTACCACCTATCACCATTGCAGGCCAAGCCTGCCTGCCTCCTCTGGTTTGCTGGACCAGAAGATCCGAGAGTACATGCTAATGAGGTGAGCAGGATGGAGAGGGTAGGCTCAGGGACTCGGATCTATGCTTGGGCTGGCAGATGCCACTCGGACTCACTTCCACCGCTGCTAGGAGTGCTGTCCTTATTCCCGTTCCCTGACCCCTGGGGAGCACTTAGAGCCGTGCAATGAGTGTAACCTGAGCCCCTAAACTCAGGCTGTACTTCTCTGCTGAAGCATGCTTCTTTAGTGTACGGTGGATGCTCCGCCCACACGCTCCAGGTTCTTCCTTCCCAGGCTTCTGGCCTCTTCTGGAGGGACACCAGCCTTGAGCTCACCATCCACTTTCCTAGATTCCTCCTTCCCCGCCCTTCCCTTGAGCCTCACTCCCTCTTTCTATCTTCCATCTTCTTCAACTTCTTTTGGAGGCAGGGGCATGTTTCAAGACAGGGTTTTCCTGTGTAGCCCTGGAACTCACTCTGTAGCTCAGGCTGGCCACAAACTCAGAGATACCCTTGCCTCTGCCTCCCAAGTGTGCCATCACCACCCAGCTTCCCCAGTTTCTTAATGTCATCTGTAGATTTTTTTTTCTGAGGCAGGGTTTCTCTGTAGCCTTGGCTATCCTGGAACTCCCTCTATAAACCAGGCTGACCTCAAACTCAAGTCTCCTAAGCGCTGGGATTGAACGTGCCCGCCACCACTGGGCAGCTTGTCTGTCAACCACCTTCTCACCTCAATCCTATCAGTTCCTGGTTTCTTTGGAGGAGCCCAGGGGAATGTTACTCTGAGAGAATAGACTTTGGCTCCTAAGGTCAAGAGAAAGCAGGCATTCAGCACCATTCCCTTATGGGTGATTTATCTTCTCAGAAATTCTGACCTGCACCAAGTGACCTCCAAGATCACAGCTACATTTCCCTTTATCCTTGAAGTTCAACTTCAGTTAAGCATTTCTGACACCAGTCTCTAGAAGCAAAGAAAAGATGTATATTTCTTGAACAACTGGAACATTCTGGGCATGGCTCGACTGTTGCCCACTGGGTGTGGGAAGAAGAGGTCCTGTCAAGGGTGGTCTAGTAGGAGGTTCTGAGGCTTCAGTTTCCCTGCTCAGCTCTGGATGGCCCCCTGGGCTTGGAGGGTGCTGTCCTGCACCCCACCCACTTCTCCACCCAGAGTATAGTAAGGCACCCAAGAAAAAGAGGAGGCATCGAGGCACTATTTGGTGTACTGAACTAAGGATTTTGTTTTTACTTTGAGAGACAACAACATGTGGCAACATCAGAAACGACATCTCTGACCAGACAGCACTGGCAGTGCAGAGTTCATCACACATGGAAATGTGCGGCCATCTGGGTTCAGTCTCTGAGCTGATTGACGCTCCGCTGCCTGCAGTACAGACAGCAAGGAGATAAAGTGCATTATGACCCCATCACACAGCCAGGTCATCCTGGAGGAAGAAAGGTAGCCAAGGGGGCAGGGAAAACAGAGACTCACAAACTACTCAGGGCCAGAATGGGACACACAAAGCAGAATCCTAGTTCTACCCCCATCTCCTCGCCCAGAGTCCAGTCCATTGTCAGTGCCTCTGACCTCACACCATAAGCCCATGTCTGGACATAATCAGGGAGGGGCTTCCTGGAGCAGGAGGTCTAAGAAGGCAGGGCCTCTGTCTCCATACTCATTTCTCCAGTAGATCAAGGCTGACAGCATGCTGAAGGTTTCTGTATCAGGAAAGCAATGCATGGACCTTGAGATACCAGTGCCAGAGAAGCTTGGAAGAGTGTAGGAGAAGTAGCAAAAGTATTCCTTGGGTCATCCTTGGGCATTTGGAGAGTCTAGCCTAAGAAGGGCCTCCTGGACAGACTGTGCTCAGTATATCTGGAGGAGATTTTTTTCCCATGTGATGCCTGGGATGGGGCTACAAGCCTGGGAACAAAGAAACAGGGCCATACCATGGGTCTCAGCCTGTAGCTCCTCGACTTCCCATGAACCACAATGCCATCATTGTAGTTCACTACCACACAACTGCTCGGGGGCCCTGGTCAAGCACCAGAGAGGTGGGGAGGACTAGACATTTCAGGAAGCTCTTGAACCTTCCTCTCTGTTCATGAACTCAACTATCGGCCTGTCTTCTAGTCCACTCCAAGGAAAGGCAGATGCCCAACTTCCCTAACCCACAGCCTCTCTTTCTCCCTAGGTCCCCTGGCAGCTCTCTACTCCCTCCCCACCCCAGCTTCCTCCCAGGTCATGAAGAAGACTGCAGAAGGGGTTGGGGAATGCAGGTCCAGGGCAGACTGAGTTTCCCCCTCTTCTGTGTGTAACAAGGGCAAATCCCAGCCCGGTCCTTGATGCCCACTGTGTTCATGAGATGAGAGAATGAATACACCTCCCTCACAGTGTTGCTAGGAGACATCAGTGCCTAAGGTACACTGGCATCTTTTCTGTGGCGGGGCCAGACGACCTGAGCCACACCACCACTCTCTAAGCCTCTACCAGAAAGGCCCTTCCTCTTCTAGGTTCTTCACTCAGCTGCTCCCCGGGCTGCTCAGGAACAGAGGCAGGCATCTCTACATAGGGATCCATCTGAAATGATCAGAGAAGGGAGCCATCACCTAGAAGACCAAGGCCTGAAAAATAAAGAGAAGCCTTCAGAGTTGGCCTCCTGTGCACTCTGCCTCTCCACCCTATCCTGACAGCAGCTGCTTGCTCCTGGAATCCTTCCCACTTCCCCAGATCCTGTGGCACACGGCTGCCAGGCTGCTCATGGCTGGAAGATGGGCTTCTGGGTCACACGAGTGTCATCGCAGGTGCTGCTGGGCAGACAGGGAGGATGGAAGAAGCAGGCTGTGGGGGAAAGAGACGACTGTAATCAATATTCCCTGTTCTTTCCTGTCTGAAGATGCAGAGAGCCTCAGGAATGCCCCCAGACCGGGTTAGGGGAGAAAGAGGGAGAGCAGGAGGAGCAGGCAGAAGACAGTCCCCTGCCCCATCCCCAAGAGTGCAGGAGGTAGTCTGGAGAAGGGCTGCATAAAGCGGCAGAGACTAGCCTAGGGCCTGCATGCAAAGAAGCAGACAGATCTGACCACCTGACACAGGGAGACCGATGGACAAATATTTACCCTTCTAGCACCTTCCTGGAGGCTCGCTGGCCCAATCCTCTGCCATTCAGGGTTCAGGTTACACCTCAGGAGACTCCTACAAAAAAGGGACTTGAAGCCTGGCGGTGGTGGTGCACGCCTATAATCCCAGCACTCAGAAGCAGAGACAGGTGGATCTCTGTGAGCTCGAGGCCAGGCTGGTCTACAAGAGCTAGCTCCAGAACAGCCAGAAATGTTAGACAGAGAAACCCTTTCTCGAAAACAAACAAACAAACAAACAAAAAAAGGGACTTGAGGCCTGGAAGGTGGGTGAGAGGGTCTGTGTGTTGGTGATGAGCTGACCCTCCAAGATGTCATAGCCACCCAATACCCTATCATGGAACCACCACCAGGGACACGGGAGAGCTTTGCCTACCTTTTTAGTTTCCAAGCTTGGCTACGCAGCAGGTGTGCCATGGCGTATTCCCTATTTCCACAAACGAGTTATACCCACCAGCCCCCGTTCCAACCTGTCGGTGCCTACCTTCCTGCACAGGGCCTGGTAAATCCTGCGGTAGCACCCCCTCTTTCGGGTTTTCCCCCTTTCTGGCCAATCGGAGGCAACAGGTTTGCCAGACTCTGGTGATTCTCTGGATGCCGCGGAAAATGACTCGGCTGCGAAGGTTTTTTTGCAGTATGGGATGCAGAACCGGAGGCCTAAAATGGAGGGGCCCAGGCAGTCCCGTCTGCGCCCCTCGCCACAGTCTCTGGGCAGTAAGCTGCCCCACGGTCCTTCATGCGGCCGCCTGGAGGGGATGGCGGGGGGGGGGGGGGGTGGGTGGCGCGGGTGGAGCGGATGGTGCTCTCCACCCGGGGCCGCCGTTGTGGCGGGTGATGGCTCATTCGATCCGCACCTGCAGGCGGACGTTGAGCATCACCGAGGCCACCATGTAGAAGTAGGGGAAGTTCACGCGCAGCCGCCAGGCCAGGTCGAAGAAGGTGAGCAGCGTGCGCGTGAGTCCCTTGCAGAAGGCGCTGTAGGAACCGCGCGTCGCCGCCCAACGCGACAATCGCATTGCCAGGCCGGATAGGGCCGCAGCCGCAGCTGCAGCCGACAGGGCCGCAGTCACCGCCATCGGCCTGGCTAACCCGCTCACCCGCTGCAGATCCAGCTCAGTGCGCCACGCCGCGCTGCACCGCGACACGCCGCCCAACGCTGTCTGCAGCCCCGCCCACGGGCTCCCGGGTCCTTGCTGCCTCCAATGCTCCACCCACCACCCCGCAGCCTCAGAGGCTCTCCGCCTTCCAGTAAGACCCGCGGCTGCTCAGCTCTGCCCCCTCGCAGCAGGCTCTGGGCAGAAGTCCTTCCCCTAGTTCAGCAGGCATCTTTGTCTCATCCCGAGTCTGAGTCCTGCTGCTGCAGAATGGCCGCAGAGGTCGGGCCGGGCTTGCTTGGCCTTACTGCCTCAGTCCCACCACGGATGGGAACCCTCTCTCCATGAAGTCTCACACCAACCAAGTGCTTGTCCCACCTGTTCAGCTTGCTATTCCTAGAGTGTACAAATACTGAACGGCGTGAACGGTGCGCTGCTAGGACTAGCTCTTGGGAAATACTCTAGAATGGAGGGGTTTAAGGACTAGCTAGCTCTCGTGGACCACTTTTGCTAATTCTATAGGAAAGTATATCCAGTAGTTCTCTCCTATGCACGCTAATACCCCTCTCCACCGTCTCCTCGGGAACCAGGTCCAAGGACTCATTGCACCTCTCATTATTTGCATAATGCCCTTAACTGCCCCATGCAGTGCCATCAGATCAATGGTGCGTGCATTTTGTTCCATTTCTGTTGTGTTTGCTGGTTGCCTTTTCATGTTAATATCTAATCTTTATATCAACAGGTTAAACCAAATCCAACCCAAAGCCAGATTGTCTCTGGCGATGAGGGCAGCGTTCAGTCACCGAAGCAAAGGTGAGAGGAAAACAGCCACGATTCCGCATTGCAGAGCATTGCTCAGTTACTGTGTTCAGTGGGTTAGGTGCTGGAAGGGCATTTTCATCTTAGGATATTTTCAACTTAAAATTGATTTATCCAGATCAATTTACTTCAGAGTAAATCAAAGATCATCTGTATTTATTAATAGGGAATAGAGTGATCCCTCCAAATTCGATTTTTATTTGACAGCACATCGTTAGTTATTCTAGATGCTGTGCATATCCACATAATTTTAGAAGCAGATAGTGAGTACAAAAGGCATTGCTTGAAATTGTATTAAATAGACCAGTTTGGGGGGAGAACTGACACCATTTTTATGTAGATTGTTTCAAGTCAAGAACAGAGTCTGTCTTTGTTCATTAAGATGATTTTATTTCTTTTATTTAAATTTGTATGGTTCGGCATTGAGGTCCTTTTTACATTTGTTATAGCTACTCGAAAATACTAATTTTCTTTGAAAGCACTATAAATGATTTTGAACTTTTAATCTCAGTTTCCATATGCTTGTTCTTTATTAGTATATAGAAATGTATCTTTGTATGTATATGTGTATGCATGCATTCCTGTGTGGATTCACATGTTTGTATAGGTGTGCATGCATTTTTGTGTGTGGAGGCGAGAAGACAACCCATGGAGCATATTTACTTCCGTTTTTGGACTGTCTCTGCATGGCTAAGAGCCCTTCCAGCAGACCAGAAGGGTCAGCAAGCTCCAGGGATCTGCCTGTCACTGCCTTCCCAAGATCTCGGATTTAAAGCATGTGTCACTGCCAGGTATGACCGCACAAGTTTTTGATCCTAAGCATTCAGGCAGAAGAGGCAGGCAGAACTTTGTAAGTTTGAGGCCAACCTGGTCTACATAATAAGTCCCAGGCCACTCAGGCCTACATGGCGAGGCTGTGGACTAAAAAGCCCAACCAACAAACCAAAAACAAGCAAACAACCATCTCTGCCCCCTGTGCCTCCATGCCTGGCTTGGGGAGGGAGTGGGCATGGCTTGTCTCTTAAAGAGACAGAACAGATCATTACACTGGGGATGTCAACTTTGTGTTTTACATTTGGAGCCATCCTCCTACCCTTGAAATAACATTTCTGTGCATCCATCTTGTGTTCAGTGAAGAAGACAAACTATTCGTTTGTTTCTAGGGATCTTCTTTTCAATACTGTGAAACTTGGTAACTAGAATATCTTATTGTGTGCAAATTAGTGCAGTTCACTGTTTGTCCTTTCCCGTCTTTCTAGCTGTTTCTTGTCTCATTGCAGTGGAGAGAATTCACAGAGCCAAGTTGAATGTAAGAGTTCGCTACCCTAATGGCCATGTATGGGTAAATGCGTTTTCCAAATCACTGATTTTGAGTGTCTTTAGAAAGTAAGATTACAATGCTGGGCATGGGGATACACACTAGTTTAATCTCCTTACTCTGGAGGCAGAGGCGGGCAGATCTCTGTGAGTTCAAGGCCAGTCTGGTGTACAAAGAACTTTCCAAGACAGCCAGGGCTGTTACACAGAGAAACCCTGTCTCAAAAAAAATGAAAAAAAGTACTATTATAAACTTTCATATACCTAACTTTTTGATTCAGTCTCAATCTGTAGCCATACTTGCCTAGAACTCATTCTGTAACCTAGGCTGGTCTTACTTTTTTGTTATTATTTTAATTTTATTTGTAATGAACAAATGCCAAACATATAAAAAATGTGTGTATGTACATGCATGCTTGCAGGGGCATACACTTGTACGTGTGTGTATGTGTGTGTGTGTGTGTGTGTGTGTGTGTGTGCTTGTGTAGATGCATATGCTTGTCCATGTAGAAGCAAGAAGTTGTCTATCTCAGCAGTAGAATCACTATGGGTGTTTGCTAGGTACAACGTGTTACACAGTCTTGGGATCTTAACTCTGGCAGGTGAATCTCTGTGAGTTCAAAGTGTGGTGGCAAACACCTTTAATCCCAACCCTTGGGAGGCAGAGGCAGAGGCGGGTGGATCTCTGTGAGTTCAAGGTGTGATAAAACATATCTTTAATCCCAACACGTGGAGGCAGAGAGGCAGGCAGATCTCTGTGAGTTCAAGGACAACCTGTTCTACAGAGTGAGTGCCAGGACAGCCAAAGATACACAGAGAAACCTGGTCTCAAAATCAAAAATTAAAAATAAAAGAAAAAAATAGAGTTTAAAACAAGCCACATAAAGATGGAAAATACACAGAGAGTCTGGATACTATATGTTATTGTGTTACAGCTGCTAAACAACATTTGATTATAAATGTTGCCGAATTAATCCAACCTATGTATTTTGAGAATTCCTTGACTTTAAAATATAAGTCAAAATATATGCTACTTTGAAGAAGAGGTTTGCTTTTGTTTATACAGGAAATGAGAGGCTCTGGATTCATTCTGGGTTAAGAAAATTTAATTTTGATCAAGGAAGACCCCCCTGAGAAACTTGTTGACATAATTCATTTGGATCATATATTTTTGAATCCACTAGGTGGAGCTAGAGAGATGGCTCAGCGGTTGTTTGTTCTTCAGAGAAAGCAAGTTCAATTCCCAGCACCCACATGGAATCCCACAACGCTCTGTAACTCAGTCCTAAGGGATCTAATGCTTTTTTCTGGCCTCTGTGGGCACTGCACACATGTGGTGTACAGACATATATGTAGGCAAAACACCTGTACACATAACATTTTCTTAAAAAATTTGTGTGCATTGGTGTTTTGCCTGCATGAGGGTGTTGGGTCCCCTAGAACTGGAGTTGCAGACAGCTGTGAGCTGCAATGTGGGTGCTGGGAATTGAACTGGGGTCCTTTGGAAGAACAGCCAGTGCTCTGAATCGCTGAGCTATCTCTCCAGCCCTACATATAACATTCTTAAGAAAGAAAAATCCATTCAGCTAGTGTTTATATTTTCATTGACTATTTAGCTCATTAAAATTTAATACAACTAGGGTGTGGGAAAAGGCTCAGTGGTTAGCTCTTAAAGAGGAACCAGGTTTGAGTTCTAGTATCCGCCGGGTGATTCACAAGTGATCTGGCGCCCTCTTCTGGCCTCCTGGAGCAACAGGCATGCACCTGGTATTCAGACAAAACAATCATTCACATAAAATCAATTGAAGTTAATGTGATTACCAATAAGATAAAATGTACAGTTGGGTAGTGGTGGTGGCTCACGCCTTTAATCCTAGCACCCAGAAGGCAGAGGCAGGCAGATCTCTGTGAGTTTGAGGTCAGCCTGTTCTACAAAAGCTAGTTCCAGGACAGGCTCCAAAGCAACACAGGTAATTCCTGTCTCGAAAACAAACAAACAAATAAAAGATAGGATTATAGTGTCCATTTTGATATTTTTCTGTATTTTATGTCTTCTGTATGCTATATCCTCAATACTTTATTGCCTTTTGTTTTATTTATTTTTAATATCTATATCTTCCTACTCCCCCTTTAAAAATATTTATTTATTTATTATGTATACAGTGTTCTGCCTGCATATCATAAAAGGGCACCAGATCCCATTACAGATGGTTGTGAGCCATCATGTGGTTGCTGGGAAATTGAACTCAGGACCTCTGGAAATCTCTTAAGCTCCTAGCCATCTTTCCAACCCCCTGCCTTTTATTTTAAACAGATGCTTTCCTGGCACACGATTTCACTTTATTTTGTGTGTATGTGTTTATGTCTGTGCACGTTTATTTACATGGCTGTGTGCATGTGTGTTTTGTATGCATGTGTATATGGGTGAGTGTGCTTGCCTGTAGATGTGTACATAGAGACCACAGATTGACATGGAATATCTTCTTCTATTGCCTTACTTCTAATTATTTTAGAAAAAGTCTCACACTAAACCTAGAGCTCACTGTTTCTTGGCTGGATCGGCTACGGGCTAAGGGCCCTTCCAGGATCCATTTGTCTCCAGCCATCCCTACCCTACCTGTCAGTGCCTGGGTTACACATTTGCCAGCACATCCAGCTTTTTACATGAGTGTTGGGGATCTGAACTCGTGTCTTCATGCTTGTACCCACTCAGCCGCCTCCTCAGCCCACACTTTGATTTTGAAATTGGGTCATTCACTTGTAGACGCTCACTGAATAGGTTAGGCTGGCTTACCAGTGAGCCCCAGAGATTATCCTGTCTTTGCCTTCCCAGTGCTGATATCATTGGCATGTTTGCATCTGAGTCAGGCTTTTTACAATGGGTTCTAGGGATTCAATTTATTGTCTCATGTCTGTGCAGCAAACACTTTACTAAATGAATTATTTTCCTGGTAATGTGGTATTATCTTTTGTTTTTTAATTATTTTTTTAGATAGAGTCTCACTATGAAGTTATGAAGTGCACACACACCTACCTACCTATTGAGTCCAGTTTTTGCTTTTTAATTATTTTTTTAGATAGAGTCTCACTATGAAGTACACACACACACACACACACACACACACACACCCTACCTATAGAGTCCATTTAGTGTTGCTTGCATGT